TGTGGGGCCATATGCAGCAGCACCCGGCCGGGTACTGGCCGATGTTAGACTGCGATTGGGGCGATCTTGCACCAAATGCGAGCGACGGATCGCTCGAGCGATTGGCCATTGGCCGATTGTGGCAGGGAGCGACCAATCGCTGCCACGCCCCTTCGATCAATACCCTTGACTGGGGAGTCGAGAATACATAACGTTTACATCTTCGCGGATTTCGATTAAACCCTTCTAGTATCTGATTAGTGATGATAGCGTAATTGAATAGTATACGACCAACACTGTTTACTACGCATTTTGTAACTACTCGTGATTGAGCATATTTGTTGTTTTGCTTTCGTGTTTTTGATATTTCAACACATTTTTTTGCATGCAGGTCTATGCAATGTAGGGACTGATGGAGGGAAGTGAATTCAGGTACTTAAACTGTTGTGCTATTGATTATCTCCTTTCCCGCGGAGATGTTAACGTTATGTATTCTCGACTCCCCAGTCAAGGGTATTGATCGAAGGGGCGTGGCAGCGATTGATCGCTCCCTGCCACAACGGCCAATGGCACATCACGGCCCGAGCGATGGATCGCTCGAGCGATGGATCGCTCAAGCGATCCGTCGCTCCTGCAATTGGTGCAAAATCGCTCCAATCGCAAAGTCTGACATCGGCCATTAACACGTTGACGACCGTGTGGTATGATGTCATACCACACTTTCACATGGAGCAGACTAGTTTTCCTTAATTTATTTGGCGTTTTTCCTGTTCCACAACGGTCCATGTACATTATTGGATCCGAAAAACAATTTTTTTCATTACTGATAATGAAAACGCTGAAGGATTAATGCCTATTGATGAGAGAATACGAAAAATGTTGAAGCAGTACGCGCACAACGGCGGTCGTCAACGTGTTAATCTCCGTGCAAGACCAGGGACGAATTTCCAACTTCGGGAACGAGTTTCCAAAGTTGGAGCTTCGTCTATAACAGGGAACGGGGATCCATCCCCGCCCGAGTGCCAGTTCTCCCCAAAAGAGTCTAAAATACTCAAGTGTGCGTGCCGGATCTCACCCTTACGGCTAGGCCAGTGTCAGACGTTGCGAATCAGGTGAGTCGCTAGCGATTCGAGCAGCTCGCTAGCGAATCGCGGGATACGGGCGTTGCACCAGCGAATCAAGCTGTGGGGTCTGTTGTCCGACGGCGGGGCATCTGCTGACGCAATTGCTATTGACAAAAGAGAACATGTTAGAGCCTGTCATATATACTGAAGCTCTCCACTTAGCAAACTAAGACATGTCAAGAACTGTGACGTATTCTGAGAGGAACTGACCTATTTCCTGCCCTACCTCTTTTTTCCACATCTAGAAAAAGTGGCGCACCACAAGATATCGGGCTTCCCCTTGGACTAAGCCTCGGGGTGGGCAGGAGCTACGAAAAAGATGAAAATCACTCTCTGGAGTCTCCCCTTCCTCCGCCAAGGCTTAGTCCCTTTTCTAACAGAAAACAATCGTTTGACGCGGTTTTACTTACGTGCGTTATCGTCGCATGCTCGCATCTCTTGCGATAGGGCCTTATTTTGTTTGTGTTGTTTTGTTGTTTCTTCGAAGCTTTAGATGAATGTTGGTTCTTAACATGTTCTGGTTTGTTTGCTGTTAGAAGGCGTTGCTCTTTTTACACGTTTTGTTTCGTTAGCACGTTGCAGCAGCAGATGCCCGCCGTCGGACAACAGACCCGAGCTGTTTACTAGCGGTTGAACGGTACCAGCAACTTGGCACTGTTTGAAAAGTGGCGGAAGTCCCTCTGGTTTGCATGTCGACTTTCGCCACCTTTCCGAGCACACATGCCTTCCCATTTCATTACGCCCTCGTGAGCCTAGGAAAGCAGGGTGAATATCGGTCGAGGAAATCCTCGACAGGGGGGTCGTACCTGTCGGGCTGGGTCATGGGGGGTCGTACTCTTGGGGGTCAGTAACAGCAGTGGTATCGTGGTGCAGATAGGTAAGAGGGTATAGCGCAGCAGAAAATGAAAATATCTGAAAAAACATGATATTAAATTTTCTTTGCAGGTTCAGTCGCTCCATTCCTCCACCTTCATGAGAAGGGCGTATTTGAAGGCAGTACAAAGAATGAAAGTGCATCCCCGCAAAGAAGACTGCCACATGTGCGCACGCGCTGCAAAGGCACCTCCTCTGCCTATCGCTCGCTCCTTCTCCCTTAATACCTCGCTGAGAATGACACTGTTGTTAGGGACCCTGTCGCAAAAACGACAACCGTGAAGGAAAAGCCCTGGGCAAATGAAGTTGTTCTTCAGGTTGTAGGAGTTACGAAATGTGTTTACTACAATGCAGCTTCTGTCAACTGGTCATGATCATATAACACCTTCGAATCGATTCTGCAACTTCGAGTGAGGTCGGATGCATGGCCTATACCAGACAAAATCGATGATGACGATTGCCCCTTTTCCTATTGCTTATGTTGGGAAGAATGTTTTCTAGACCCATTTCAAGCGTTGCCAACAATTACACTTGCAATGGTGAAGAAGGGAGCGGATTTTCAGGTGGCCGGATCCGTCCTCGATACATACTCGACGCAGATATCTTCTCAAGAAAGTAAAGAAAGCGCAAACCTTCCGCTTTCTAAAACTGTCTTCCCTTTTCAGGATCTTACGATATAAGAGATATTGCTTTTGAAGTGGCAAAAACTAGCATGAAAATTTCAGCGTCCTCGACGTTTACTCGACGAAATTTGAGAGACCCTATCTTTCTGCATGGAAGGCTTTCAGAGCAATTTCAATACTTCTTGGAAACGCGAAATCCAGCTCTATCTAACCCTACCTCAAACTGCTTCAAAGGTTATGAAATGGAGGAATGCAACCTTTTCATCGAGGGTGTAGATTTCGACGGTTTTTTTTCGGGATTTCAGCAAATCTGACCCAGTGACAATCGCGCCGCAGCTGCCGTTGAATCGGCCGTTGATTGATACACTCGGCTGTTTCGATATACTCAAGCAAGGAATCAAGATTAAATCGCAACCCCGTGCCTTCAGGATTTCTGTGCATTTCTGAACGAACCTGACTTTGAGGTCACACAAAGTTAATGCCTCTTTCCTCGAGTCGATATTTCAGTAAATACACAAAAGTGTGCAGCGATGAAAGACAGTGCACAGATGACAAGATGAGGCGTCCATAACATTATTTTTGCAGGATTTTTTTGATTTAATTGAATTAATTTGCTCTGTTTTAGGGGGTCGTGCCAGGATCTCGATTTCGGGGGGGGGGGGTCGTACTTCTGCGACCACGTACTCGACACGATTTTCACCCTGGTTCGAAAGCCACTGCACGAGTCCGCAAGCTCCACCCAAACAGATCGCGATTCGCAAAGTCTGAACGCGGGGCTTACAGTGTTTCGCTTTGCCATTTTGCTATGGTGAGCACGCCTATAATACGCTTCTTTTTCTTGTCCTTTCCTCTGTTCAGTGAGTAACGTTTATTAGTATGCCTGTACAAACGAATATCGTGATGAACAGGGAACGATTTTCGAAAGACTTCATACGATAAAATGTTAGTGTATACGGTAGCGTACAGTAACTTGTCGATGATGTCTCATGACGATATTCTTCGTAGAATCTCGGCCGCTTGTGGTTTTTGTGATGCAGCCAAATGATATTTCCTCTCGGAATCCTGCTCTCCTGATCCTGAGTCTTGTTTGTCTCTTTCACCCAAGGTTGAGGAAATCGTTTCCGCACTTCCGGTCGCTTCACTCTGTAACAGCCTCGCTAGAACGGATGTCATAAGTGGAAATATTAGTTAAAGGCACACCCCACGATCGAAGTTATGTGTAAATCTTGGACACGTAAAGAAAAGTAGGGACTCGTAGAGCTGACGGGTCAGCGAGACCCAGTTGAGGCCCCACCAAGGTCAACCAGCGTTGGGCAAATTCTAAAGCCAGCAGAGTAGGGTCAAGCCGTACCTCAATTCAATTCCAGAAATTCAACGATCCCCCACCACCACCACCACCACCTTCGTTGGAGTCTCCAACACCACCTGCCCCTTCTCTACCCCGACACACCCTAACAAATCGTTGTAGTTTCTATATCAATCGCCACGCACCATCCGCCAATTGTCCCGAATTGGCCGTCAAGAACGAGGCACGTATCCTTCTGGATAAAATTTACCAGAAAATCAGTCAAAGCGGGGTCTCCTACTGCAACCACAATCCTCTAGAAGCGCAAATATGAACCCCCGACGGCCCACAAAGATGACCTCCCCTTTGGAAATGTGTAACGCACGGTTACCTAAGGAGGGAGAGGATCAGAGTACATTGCTCCAAACTTCCGTTGAAAATTTTCTAGCTTCTGAAACATTTTCCTCCTTTGAAACTCGAAAAAAACCCAGTGCCCATTTACTATCTACGGCTCATAAAGTATTATCTATTATTGATTTATCTCTTCGAACCATAAAGTATCTGAGGTCCCACTTTTAAGCTTAATGCTCGAGCCACAGCCACAGCGGATTCGCCGCTGCCTTAGTTGAGGGCCTTTTGGCTAGAACTTACCCCTATACGCCGTTCGCTTTCGAGATCGTTAAGCATAGGCGACTTTCCACCTTCCTGAAAAGTTCACACTTCAAGTTCTCTATTCAATTTATTATGTAATCTAGTTCAACGTACCACTCTACCAGCATAAGGAGGAGCACCAGCACCACCACCGGCATCGGGAGGAGCATCGCCTTCGGGAGGAGGAGCACCGCCTTCAGGAGGAGCGCCGCCTTCGGGAGGAGGAGCACCACCTTCGGGAGGAGGAGCACCACCTTCGGGAGGAGGAGCACCAGGTGCTCCACTTGCAGGACTAGACTTTTCACTCTTCTTGCCCTTGCCCTTCTTCTTCTTCTTGCTCTTCTTGCTCTTGCTGCTCTTGCCTCTCTTTTTCCTCTTTTTCTTCTCTAACGATTCCATTAGTGCTACTTTTTCTTTATGCTGTTTTCTTTGCATAATCATCACAGCGAGAACTATACATATTGCGACTAGCACAAATCCAACACCGCAAGCCACGATAATGGTTGTCATGTAGTCTGCTTCTTCCTCGTCAGAATCACCTGCTCTGTAACACTTCGATTAGCTTCGAACAATGTGCTTAGAATATGTCATGCACTAAATTGGAAGACGTTCAGCTTTCCTCCTAGGTCAGGCCACCAGAGCTGCGCGATCATTGAAGCCTGAGCTGAAGCTTGGGTTTAGGCATAGGCTTCAGCTTATACAGAATGTCCCAAAATTACTTGCGCCTATTTATTGCAATGTCTTTTGAACTGTTGGACACAGAATGGTAATTGAATATAAACATAATTATACTAACATCATATACAACAACATGCAACAACAGATTTCAAAATGTCCTCCACCTGCACGAATTCAGGCCCGGAGTCTCTTCTTGCACCATTCGCACGTTGCACGCAGGTGTTCCTTATCCAATTCTTCCCAGGCTTCCTTTGCTTGCAATGGTTGCAGATTCATACGACGAGCTCGACATGCCTTGCTCTTAATCACGGACCAGACTGAGAGTTCAAGTGATTAAGATTAGGGAGCAAGAAGGCCATTCCTCGTGGCGACGAAGTCGGGCAGCTCGCAGCTCGCACCTGCCTTGAACGAGCTTGTAGACCTGTGGCTGTCCTGCTGGAAGAACGTCGGCTTGCTCCCAAAGTGGAGTTGGGATCCGATACATTAGATACATACTCAATGCATTCAACAATTGCACGTCCTTGCTGATCTTCACACATGAATCGTCAAAATTCAACGGCATCTCACCATTGACCACAAGTCACTCCCATTTCATTACTGATGCCGAGTTGAGCCGTTCTTCAGCAATCCTTCCCCCGTGAGATGACTCTCACGACTTTTCTAACTAAAATGTTATTGCTCTGGCTATTCAACACCGGCTGCTCCACAGCGAATATTTTCGCGTCAGAAAAAACGATTGAGAGTTACCGTTCGTCGATGGAGGCGCTGCTATGTAACTTTCAACTTTTCGGCTTTTCTTTGCTGTTTTTGCCCCACAAATATAAGCGGCACTCTGAATGGATATGAGTGGTATGCTGCTGTCTCCTGGGTGGCGTCATATGGCGTCGATCCGCGATTTAGCTTAGAGCGCACAGTTAAAATACATTAGGTGTAATCCACACCCTCTCATATAGCCGGACAACTTCGCGCGGGCAAACAATATTGTGTTCCGTCCTCCTTGCCTTTGACATCAGACCATACGGAGCTACTATCCACTCTTATTCTCAGATCTTTGGGACTCAGCAATAGTTTTGGGACCCAAATTATTAGTTCGATGAATGACGGAAGTCTAGCAATTGAGTGATACGGACGAGTTGTTCGGCCGCGGCGGGGTGGGGCAATGGCGGCCTGTGCGCTCTAATGCCGAAGGGGTCGCGCCATAAAACCCCCCTTCTCCTTAGTGATGCGTCCCCTCGATGACTTCGATAAATTCACCCCTCTCGCCATCCTTCTCACAATGTCAGCATGGGTTGCCTAACCAACACCATTTTGATGATTCTATCCCATAGCAAGGCGACCATTCTTCGCTTGTCTAGTGGCTCCATGAAATGAGAGTTCTTATTCTCTGCATCGTTTGCTGGCCATCTTTACTGCGCTCACAGGAACATCAAGAAATTTAACACTGCCTAAGATGCAGTCTCTTCCTCGCGCACGCGAATGATCGCAGGTCACCTTGGATCACCTCTCGCCATCTCAGAGATACTGGCAGTTTTACCCCAATAACGATGCAGTTCACAAGAGAACCCACCTGCACAACTAATTAGTAGCGTGCGAAATGAAAATAATCGATATACCTTTTCTAATAAATTTTTGAAATTTGGCGCAAGTAATTTTGGAACACCCTGTACACAATGGCTTATGCTTGAGCCTATGATTGCCAAGCTTAGTCCTAGGCTTGGTACATGCAAATGAGTGGTGCCTTAATGTTAGGTGACCTTGACGTGAGGAGGGGAACGAAACGCAAACCACTAAACTCATGTCCGTAATTATAGAAGGATACGGCAGCGTATAAAATCTATGCGGTCTTGTCTAGCCAGGCCAGTCACTGTTGATACCTTTCAGACAGATGTAAATCTAATTTTAAGGGCGCACCCCACGATAATAAGGCGCGGTCATTGCCCTCAAAAATGAAGATAGAGGTGTGAAATAGACTGCCAGTGAGGAAACGGGAAACTAAGCTGCCGAATACTCTGCAATGAGGGAACCTCTTATTCTTGTGGAGTGGACTGCGTACCCATGAAAAAACACGGAGTGCTGACCAAAGAGAACAGGCGAGAGAGTATGTCGGACAAGGAGGCGCAGACACATGCTGCATAACCCTCCAGCAACATCGGAAGCATACGAGTGCCTACTGAAAAGATTTCGAGGCCTTTGCCGCCCTTTTTTGAGCCGCAAGGATGGCTTAAATTCTATGGGATGGCTTAAATTCTGTGGTTGCAGATTGTTTACGCTGTTCACGCATGCTATTAACCCGCGTCACCTTACCACGGATTGTCTCAGAAGGTAGTGTAGTGATCACTATGGCTGGGAGGCGTGCGGTCTTGCTGACGTCCTTGAACGTCATTGGTGGACTAAACCACATCGCGGGGGTGGATCAGCCAATGACGTCATCGAAATCACACCACTCTCCAGCTATCTTAATCGATGCCTTCAAGTCTAGAGACGTGGATGGTGCCTATAAGTTTAGCTGGGGTTTAATTCATGGGTCAGGCGTGCTGTAGTGGACTTCTTGGCTACACGGCATATTCCCCTAGAAAGGTTATGTGCGGGGATTCATGAAAGATGAATGATAAGAGTATGACTGTCAGGGTCAATAGACAGGGTGCATAGTCTCGATTTCATTCCTTTCCCCTATCCTAGCACATCACCCAGGCCTCTTCACCCCATTGGCTAATATTCTTTTGCCAGCACTTATGGTTAGTGTTATATGACTAGGAGTAGGATGAAGGCAGGGAAAATATGAATTTCTTTTCCAGTATCTCATTACCCCCTGAAATTTTGGCGCTCATGTCTGAAGGGGGGGGCCAGTCAAAGGCGGCATGATTTTTGGGTGGACAGCTAGGACTAGGGCCCAGAAGGAGGGAGGAACGCCAGGGACGATGATACAAATGGGGATAAACATCAGCCCAGAATCCTTCCTTCCTACTAGCATTCCTAAGCACATGTACATTGGCTCATTCACTTGAATGTCCCCTCTCCCAAACGACATTGAGCACCAATTTCAATTGACGTTGACGTCACTTCTCTACTTTGTCAGTAAAATCGTCATGGAGAATGCGACTCTCACGTGTAGCAGCTCACAGCCGAGTTTTGCTGTCGTTGCTGAAAATTGAATTTTTCACCACCCTACTTGAACACCGCCTCACAACACATAACACTTGAGTGTAAACATGTTACTGTCAACGCGAAGTTCGACACAAAACTGGTGGCATTGCCATTTTTCGCCGCAGAAATGGAAATGGTGACATCGAAGTCCACGCACGTTATCAGATTTTATCATATATCATTTTTGTTATCGCTATTATGTGTGTGTGTTGTGTGTGTGTGTGTGTGTGTGTGTGTGTGTGTGTGTGTGTGTGTGTGTGTGTGTGTGTGTGTGTGTGTGTGTGTGTGTGTGTGTGTGTGTGTGTGTGTGTGTGTGTGTGTGTGTGTGTGTGTGTGTGTGTGTGTGTGTGTGTGTGTGTGTGTGTGTGTGTGTGTGTGTGTGTGTGTGTGGTGTGTGTGTGTGTGTGTGTGTGTGTGTGTGTGTGTGTGTGTGTTGTGTGTGTGTGTGTGGTGTGTGTGTGTGTGTGTGTGTGTGTGTGTGTGTGTGTGTGTGTGTGTGTGTGTGTGTGTGTGTGTGTGTGTGTGTGTGTGTGTGTGTGTGTGTGTGTGTGTGTGTGTGTGTGTGTGTGTGTGTGTGTGTGTGTGTGTGTAACGTGTGTGTGTGCGATACGAAGTTATGCCTATCTTGACTAATTAGAATGAGAATTATGGGATTCCGATGCCACACATCACACTCTATTACCGCGCCCATGCCCATGACATGCCCTGCCCACGTCCCCTCCCACAACCCTACCACAGCCAGGGTCAACCGTCCGTTGGACAAAGTCCAACGCGACGACGAGAGTAATGCCGAGAGTGAACGTACGCACGGAGACACAGACGGCTCGCGGGTGGCGAGAGTGAATGCCGGCGCGGAGAGCGGTGAACATCGGTCCAACGTCGCTCCAATATCGGTCCAACGTAACGGTTGACCCTGCCCTCAGCCCACACCGTACCCATCACCTACAATTAACCCGCTCATTCACACAGATACACCACATCCACACAACACACCACAACAAACATGACACGCACACATACACACCACCATCGCCACGACCCACCCATCCACACCCATCCACACACACACCCACACACAAACATACACGCACCCACATACACACCCACCCATCCCCACACCGACCCACCCACACGCACCTATCCACCCACACACACACCTACTCACACACACTCACACACATCCACCACAATCCACACCTACTCCTACACCCACACCCAACACCCACACCCACACCCTCCCACCCACACATACAACTGTCGCCCCACACCCACCCACACACCAACCACCACACACCCACACACCACACACACACACACCACACACACACACACACACACACACACACACACACACACACACACACACACACACACACACACACACACACACACACACACACACACACACACACACACACACACACCACACACACACACACACCACACACACACA